CCACACCACACCATACCATACCATACCATACCACACCATACCATACCACACCATACCATACCACACCATACCATACCATACCACACCATACCACACCACACCATACCATACCATACCATACCACACCATACCATACCACACCATACCATACCATACCACATCATAGCATAGCATACCATACCATACCATACAACACCATACCATAGCATAGCATACCACACCATACCATACCGTACCAACCATATAATACCACACCCTACCAATACCAAATCATATACCATACCACACCGTACCAGGGCAGATCGTACCATACCATACCATACCATATTTAAAAACATTTTTATTTCACCAGATTGGTGTTGTTGTCTTCGCCTCGTTTCTGGATTACATTGAAAACAAACCTCTTGTATTCGAAGTATTTGGCCATTATTACCAACAACCTTCACGTTTGGAACGAAAACTTAGCTCCCCTCGGTAATGCACAATATAAATATACAGTTCACAATCGCGAATTTTGGATGTGCTTTAATAAACAGCCAAGTAACCCTGAACCCAATTCTAGTTTAATTTTTGTCTTGTTTTATTTCAGTCTTTCAGAATTAGTTCCAGTTCGTGAGATCAAGAATGCTCGTACGGCAGAAGTATCGAAAGAAAGTCAAGGTAAGCTACCTGAATACAGAACATGGTATGAAAACCGAATAATCAATAAATTCAAACATTTTTCTATTTGCAGCTGATCCCTTGCTGTTACGATTACCTTCGCCTAAAAGGTAAGTTTCTAACTTTTAAGGCTGTTTTAAATCAATTAGCCTTTCTCACGGCCGATTTTTCCGCCATTTTTGGAGCCAGCCTCTCCCACTTTTGAGAGTCTCCGCAGCACGAAAAACAACTTTTTAGTATTATAGTTGTTTGTATAATGGTAAATTTACAATTACAACTTTTAAAAGTCGCTTTTCACGTTGTTTGAATTGTCTAGAATCATTTACGAGGGCAGACAGTACCCCCAAAAATGGCGGATTTTGGCCTTCGCGAGAAAGGCTAATGAAACTCGTATTTCCAGCACTGATAACTTAGCTTTTGGGCTTGATTTATTTGAAGGAGCCAAGATCCAGGTTTGGTGTATGAATTATTGCTCCGTGTTCAGTTTCTCGAGTTGGCACCTAGCGGAGAGTAAGTAAGAAAGAGGTGTAGGTTTTTGTTGTTAGTGATGGTGGTGATGATGTTGGTGGTGATGATGATGATGGTGATGGTGATGGTGATGATTATGGTAATGGTGATTATGTTCCATCTGCTCACTTGATATATCTTCTCCCAGGTATGTTCCATGCTTCGTCAAACATTGCCATGGAAACCTCAATTCTGGCATCGTACTTCTTCATCAAGTAAGAAAATTACTTCAAGTCACCGGTTTCAGGAAGGGCTAATTTTCTACTCATTAGACATCTTCATTCTAGGGAATTCAACGCAGAATTTTGGTCACAATTCTTCATGATAATTACCCAGAAATCAGATGGAAGGGTGTTGCAGAGATATGGATGGGTATGTCATCAACTCATTGGTCTTTGCATATATCCATTCTTTCGCACAAAAGCAAAACAAAACTCAAACCTTTTTTGTTTCCAGGTAATATTCTTCCACTATCCTTACGTGAATCAGATGGCACGTATCAAATGACGTCATCGGGAGACAACCAATGGCTGCCACTCGCTCCAGGCCAGATCCATCTCTCTCATCCTGTCGAATCTATTTCATTCTTCAAATTTGAAATTCCTTGGGATTCCTCGTTGCATAACTCCAAAAACTTGGACAGGTGATAGATCAACATTAGCTAACCTTGTTTACAATGGACCACTTGCATTATAGACTAAATTTTGATCTAGACAAAAATTTTATCTCAGCTTGAAAGAGCATCACAAAATTAGTAATATTGCAAAGTTTCGTTGCGAAATGTTGTAAAATGCGGATAATATAGCCATGCGAAGTTTGCAGTTTTTCAGTCATTTTGTATTACGCACGGGAAATTGACAGCCCAATCGGGTGTTGGGGCATCAATTTCCCGTTTGTAATACAAAATGACTGAAAATTGCAAATTTCGCAAGGCTATATTATCCGCATTTTACAACATTTCGCAACGAAACTTTGGAATATTACTAATTTTGTGATGCTCTTTCAACTGTGATAAAATTTTTGTCTAGATCAAAATTTAGTCTATAATGCAAATGGTCCATTGAAGTTGAAAATAAAAGCAGATGACTTAAGCCCAGTAAACTTGACAATTTTTCCTTGACGAGTTGTCAAGGAAAACTTGTTAAGGAAAACCAAGCTTTTCCCTGCCAAGGAGGAGTCTTGTTCCAAAGCTAGTCATGCCAGATTTTGGACAAGGAAAATTTGTTCGTGTGTACGACCGCTAAAGAAAACTTGACAAGCTAGTGTACAAGAAATACTTCTGTGGTTTTGGCAAACAAAAGACAGTCTTGACGTGAGATAAATGTTTAACAACATTCCTTGCACACGACCAGCAAAACTTGTCAAGGAAATCATATTTAAAATCTGCTATGTTTACTTAACAGAGTGACGTATCCGGGTGATTTGATCTCGATAACATTGTTTGTTTCCTTACAGGTGAATTAACTAACTTTATTTATATACTAGATATGATAGCTCTATCAGTTCTAGTCTGTTCTTCCTAGAGGTCCAGTAAGGGTCATGTCTTATTGATCAAGTGTTACTACAAGAGGAAACCTAAACTAAACTAACTTTATTTATACTGGATAACTCTATCAGTTATAAACTGTTCTTCCTAGAGACGCAGTAAAGGTGATCTGTTATTGCTCCAGTGTTACTACAGGAGAAAACCGGAACGCCAAAGAACATTTATGGTGCATGTTTGGTACAGTCAAACTGGAAACATTCTTCTCAAGCTATAATGTAATCTTTTTGTAATTCTTTTTCAGCTTGAAGGTTTTGAGCAAACTGTCTCTCTTCAGAAAGAACTTCATGTAGCAATCTACAACAGAGCATCAAAGACTGTTCCTTCAAGGTAACAGATATAACAGAATAATTATTTAATTAATCCATGTTGTTGTACGTTTTCTTTTTATTTCAGATCAATTTGGAGTCAACTGTTTTCCTCTAAACCCGCAGATAATCCTGACATGTGAGTAGTTTAGTGTGACAGCCTCTAGCCGGGCTAGGTTAAATTTGAAAATAATTTTCAGTCTTGACAAGATTTTGAAAGTATGCTTAAAAAATTCATTAATAATTCACTAGGAAAATACAAAAGAAATGAATGTTTAATCAATGTTTGTAAATCGGATAAAGATTTGTCCTGATTTACATAAACTTCAGCTTTGATTTTCTTGGCTTACATCAATGTTTATTTTTTAAAATTACTTCGCCAACGAACTCATAAGATGGGTCATTTTTTAAGTACGATAAAACATTCGCATCCGATCTGTATCTGTATCTCCCGCCCGCACTAAACGCCTGCTACGCAGGCTATATCAGATCGGCTGCTCATGTTTTATCTAGTACTTATAGTCCAGTGGTAATCGATTAATTAATTATTAAATTTCGTTATTTTCAGGAATCAATGTAGTGGAGTTTATGAATTACTAATTACTCCCATCAGCGAGAGGGGTAAGTTGTCTAGCGAATGGAATTGACAGATTTGAGAAACAAAAAAAATTGAAATCTCTTAGAAAGTCTTTGTGTTTTCGAGAAGCGAGTTTTATTTCCACAACAATATTTGCAAGAGTGGACATTCTAGGAAACATCTAACTTTTTCTATATTAATTTTCGTAACAATTTTTTCTGTGTTTCTGAGCTGTTTCAGTGTTTCATTTTTTTTCTGTTTCTAGAAGAAAGGGAAAATACCGCAGTGGCTTATGTTCGAGGAGAAGAAAATTTAAATAACTGGCGGCCAAGAAGTTCGTCTTTGATCGAGGAGCATTTTAAGAATCAAAGCAAACTACTTTACATCCAAGAGGTTGGGAGTGCTCGAACTGTTAACACTTGTAGGACTCTCTCCTATTTGTCACCAAATATAAGTATACTACATAAAATGAGAAGACGTATTGTTCACTAATAGACAATATACTTTTGTTAGGTGTGCAAAGTTCGTCATTTGCTAACGCTTCGCAGTAAACTGTCCACATCAGAGCACGATCTTAACTCGACGAACTCTTCAGCTCGCTCCGAGGACAGCATGTGTTCAGATGAAGGTTCCAAACACACCGAGTGTGAATCGATGATAAACATTGAAAAAACGGACAAAGTTCATGCAATTTTAGACAAGGTGTGCATCTGTATGACAAACGCAACTAACTTTATTTGAACTGGATAGCTCTTTCAGTTCTGAACTGTTCTTACTAGAGTTCCAGTAGGCGTTTCTCTTATTGATTCAGTGTTACTATACAGAGGAAACCTAAACTAAAGTAATTTTATTTATACTGGATAGCTCTATCAGTTCTAAACTGTTCTACCTACAGGTCCAGTAAGGATTATCTCTTATTGATCCAGTGTTACTACAGGAGGAAACCTAAACTAAACTAACTTTAATAATGAATTTTTTCTGTGTTGGTGTAATGTACTCAGGTGAATATGATGCTTGTATGTTACTCGTGGCCAGGCATATTTTTCAAGCTTGCCCGGTGTGGATATACACTCAGAGTAACATCACAAGCATCCAGTGTTACTACATGAGGAAACCTAAATTTAAACTAACTTTATTTATACTGGATAGCTCTTTCAGTGCTGAACTGTTCTCCCTAGAGGTCTAGTAAGGATCATCTCTTATTGATCCAGTGTTACTACAGGAGGAAACCTAAACTAAACTAACTTTATTTATACTGGATAGCTCTTTCAGTGCTGAACTGTTCTCCCTAGAGGTCTAGTAAGGATCATCTCTTATTGATCCAGTGTTACTACAGGAGGAAACCTAAACTAAACTAACTTTATTTATACTGGATAGCTCTTTCAGTGCTGAACTGTTCTCCCTAGAGGTCTAGTAAGGATCATCTCTTATTGATCCAGTGTTACTACATGAGGAAACCTAAACTAAACTAACTTTATTTATACTGGATAGCTCTTTCAGTGCTGAACTGTTCTCCCTAGAGGTCTAGTAAGGATCATCTCTTATTGATCCAGTGTTACCACAGGAGGAAAGGAAAGTACATGAAGAAAACCTGGAATGTTTGGTAGAGTCAAACTGGAAGCACTCTTCCCAAATGTGAGGCGAAATGATGCTCGGACAGTTGCATAGTCCAAGAATTCAGTACCGGTCAGAGAGGTGAAAGGCATTTGCATTGTAAATTTATGCGAAAAAGCTGATTAAATATGTTTCTTTTAGTGTATTCACCTGTTAACACATTCACGATTGGACCGAAGAGATGTGAAGGTATATACTGTATATTGAGGCCATTTATTGGTAATTCTTCTACATCTGTTGTAGTTTTCGTTGTTTGTTTCTTTTTGTTCTGAAAATAATTCTCCTGCTTGTTTTCTAGAAATTCGCGCAAACTACGTCGGGCGATAGCAGTCACGTGTCTGGCATGACGACGGAAATGAAAGCGATTGTCAAAAAGTAAGGATTGGACAATAGTGCCATCCAGTCACGATCCAGTGATCAGAATGTCCCATTGTCTTTTCATTGTTCTGAAAATCTCACTGTTCTCCATGCCATCCAGTCACGATCCAGTGATCCAAATGTTCCACTGTCTTTTCATTGTTTTGAAAATCTCACTGTTCTCCATGCCCATCCAGTCACGATCCAGTGATCAGAATGTCCCATTGTCTTTTCATTGTTTTGAAAATCTCACTGTTCTCCATGTCATCCAGTCACGATCCAATGATCAGAATGTTCCATTGTCTTTTCATCGTTTTGAAAATCCCACTGTTCTCCATGCCATGTAGATTGTAGACACTTTTGCCATTTCTGTTAACTTTTCTTTCAGTAATGTCGTAGCGAAGAAAGGTTATCTTGCTGTCCTAGAGGACGACTCGTCTCGTTGGAGGAAACTTTGGATGGTTAGTAAGAAATAATTTTAAAAATGCAGGCATTTATATCATGGAGGCTGTACACATTCGATGCGTGAGTTTCATTAAGAAATATCGGCAGTTATCACGCTGAAAATGTTCTTATTATTTTATCATTATGAAAGTAATGTTACTGTTATTATTATCACGAGAAAATAATGTTAATTATTTTCAGTATACGTCGCAGTTTTGTACTTTGTGAAAAAACCCGAATTTGCTTCCCTGAAACACGGAACAATATTTTACCTTCAGGTAATCAGAAGGCCCTATGCGTTCTTTTATCGCACAGAGCAAGACCAGGTTTGTTAATAAGACTTAATTAATCGCTAATTAGGTTTAATTAATTGTTGGTTAGGCTCACTAATTTCCAGGTATGTTAATTAAGGCTTAATTAATCGCTAATTAGTCTCTAACGCTGAATGAATAAGAAAGTTTATCTTATGATTTTTTAGATTGAAAGAAACATCGTGAATTTAAGTCACACGAAAGTTTCATGTCATGAAGATGATAAGGATTTACAGGTATTTTTAAAATAAATTCAGAGTATTCAGAACTATTCTGAGTAGGTGTAAAGGTGGTGGCTGTGTGGATGGGGGTCTAGTGAGCCTTAAATCATCCAAATTAACTAGTGTATGCATGTTGGTTAGATAGCAACACAACTGACCTCTGGAACCAAATTATAATGCATCACTACTTTCATTCTTCAACAAGATAACTTCAAGATTTAAGATGTAAATAACTAAATCAGTTTTACGAAATAGTAGTACGTCGTTTTCGAAAATAACCAGGTTATAAAGTAGACCAGGTTGAGGAAAAATAACTTTGTTTGAAAGCTTTGAGTGGAGGAAGGAGGGCAGAATTGATAATTCGCTTTCCTTATATTGCAGGGGAATATTATTTCCTTACAAGCGAAACATCGCGGATATTTGGTGAAACCAATGAATCAAAAAGACAAAGAATTTCATGAATGGCTCTACGCTTTTGACCCTCTCCTAGCTGGAACTATAAGGTAACTCAAGTCAGTGCATTTTCCGTTATTCTCTTCATCGATGGTAAATATGCAGAAAGAACTTTAAAGATTTATAAGGAATATACTTTGTTTACCAAGCTTCAACCCTTATCAGATAGGTTTTTGCTATTCATCAACTTAAATCTTATATGTTTGACTCTAGGTCCAGAGCAAATTCAGTTCGACTTCAGCCTGGTTAGATGAAGCGTGTCATTATACTTTATAATTTAACAAATTTCATAGAACAGTTTATTTTATTTATTTAGCAGAGCTAGTCTGATAATGTTTTTGAATTGAGAATTTGTTTAATTAATGTGTGTCTGTTTGTCTGTGTCAGAAACTCAAATTTTCTGGCTGAAAATGTGGTTTTGAATGTCAAAAATAATAGTATATTACTATACAAAACTACAAAATAATATGTATAGATAGTTAATTAAATACTGTATATTTATATAGGCAATATAGCCTTTACGTCATAGGGTATTTTAACTAAATACGTACTATAGATAGCTTTAAAATTTCTTCATGGTTAAATGATATTTTTGTATATAGACAATGACTACTTTTGTATAACCAAAGACGCATACATATTACATAACGGAACACAACGACATAAACATTTTGCTGCTGTTTGTTACACGTTCCAGCGTTTCAAGCCCACAGTTGTATCAAATAGTGTTGGCTGTAAAAACTGTCCACGTTTATCAATCATGTAGTAAAAACGATGATTCTTTATCTTGAAAACGAAAAACGGCTTTTCATCTATAAGGGAAGAGAAAAATGTGATTGTATTGTGTTCGTATGGAAAACGACGATTTGGTTATATTTTGCAAATCTTATAATTTAATGCAGGGGGATCTAGCCTCATCTGCAAGGTGGGTGGTGCATGAGGGAGCCTTACTGCCCACTCTCCTCTGCAGTCTACAACGCTACTATCCCAACATTACTGTATTATTTGAGATGGCCGAATCTGCATGTTCGCCGTTCTGAAACGTTTTACATTATCTTATGTTTTTAAAGTTTATATCGGATTTTTAACACGTATGCGTGACTGGACAGTTGCTGTAACACAGTACAGTAAATTTGCTTGTTAAAGTACAGTATATTTGAAAATATGGCTGTATAACAACCTCGACATGTTTACATATTTAACCATGATATTTAGCTAAAGCATTCTGAGTATTTTCTCGTGAGCTCACAAATCAATTAAATCGTTTCAAGAAATTGACAGTAATCCGCTAATCAATAATCCGCTGATCAATAATCCGCTGATCAGTAATCCGCTAATCAGTAATCCGCTATTCGAAAAGCAGAAGCGTAATACATACCAAGCCTTGATCCTAAACAAGACACATCAGCGAGCGGAACGCTAAATTGTTTCGCGGTACCGAAAGGTGTATACGTTCTCACGATAATACGTGCGCCATTCCGAATCAGAACGAGTTGATTGACTGACCTAAATATGAAAAGAGGACCATTATAATTTGCGAGGGTTTTGAGGCCCGATTTAGTTGAAAAAAGAAACACAATATGTACTAACCGTAAAGCATATATACAACCGGTAAAGAAAAATAAAACGCCCATTCCAAGAGAAGCAATAGATAGTCCTGTTTGCATCTGGGTTAAATTAAAATAATTTAATATCATTATTAAACATAAAGTTCTGTAAACCTCCAGTGTAAGCCCCTGGGAGTAGGAGGGGGAGTAGGAAGGGGGATTAGTGGTGGGGAGGGCTTAATCAAGGAAATAGAAAGTTGGAGGGGCACTTGATGTCTTCAGCTTTTCCCATTCTTAAATTGTCTACACATGTAAAAATCTCACAATTTGTCAACAAGATGTGTTCACAACAGGCTTGTCAACAAGTTGTAACAATGCTGCTATTTTATCAAGTTGCTACAAGGTTGTCACTCACAACTTGTTGACAAATTGTTGAATTGCAGGATGATAACAAGTTGTTGGAACAACTTGTAGATTCTGTTGAGCTCAACAACCTTGTAGCAAGTGGTCAACAAGCTGGGAACAAGCAGTGTGAACACATTCTGTTGACAAGTTGTTGGAACACAGCATTGCTACAAGTCTGCTGCAGGTTTGTTACAAGTTACTGTTGTTTTATATTTTGTTACAACTTGTACATTTTTACTTGTGTAGTTCAGACACAACAGCTTATTTCAGAAAGTACTACCTACACTGAACTCTCATGTTTGGGATTTTTGTAACCTTACCTTTGAATCTAGTAAAAACTTAGGAAAATATTTGAATTCCTTAAGTTCATTTTGATTTTCAGCAGTCCTATCCTTCAGCGCGTGTTCTTGAAGCATCTGTGTAGCTGGACGTATGTAAGCGTACATCACATAGGACATATAACTCCAGAAAACCAGCTGACTCAGCGTTGCCAAGCCAAGAATTTTATAAAATCCATGTCGTTGGTATTCATATAAGATTATGTCTTGACTGTATTTTGTAGTGAGTGTTCTCATTAATATCTGTTGAGAATTTCGCTGTGGTGGATAGAATTGTAAAGTTCAATACACCCTTCTGGATTATTTGGCTATACAGCCTCAATTTCGTGTGAGATTATTTAAATCCAAACCTTTCAAATCGCAAAAATGAGGCTTTCTAGCCAAAGTGACATAGACCGGAAGGGGCTATAGACCTTTTCAAAAAGTCTGCCTTGTCAGGGGTTTTTTCAAGGATTTTTTAGGGCCATAAAACGGCCCCAAAAACTCAATCTTGAACTGAGTTTTGAAACTCAATCTTCTCATCAAAAGATTCTGTGCAGTAAAAAAAAGTTGTTTGAGTTAAGTTCATGATGTGTGCAAATTAGTTTTCAGTTGGAAACCCGAAAATTAAGTAAAAAATGGCTGGAATTCATTTCACAACACAAGAAAAACAATGCATTCACCATCTTTAACCAGTTTATAGTGTCCCTCAGTGCCCCTGCTTTAACACATTGCATCTCAACTACACTAAAGTGGGTACAGGTTTCAGCCTCCCGGTAGGGTGGGGGAGACAGCCGCCTCAAGACCCCCAGCTGTTCAGCTAAACTCAATCTTTTCTGCAAAAACGGACCCAAGAGAAAATCCTGAAAAAAGCCTGCTTGTAACATAGTTTGCAGATAAATACAATCATTTGACCAATCTTAACTGCAAACTAGTAGTTTCTAGTACATCACAAGGCAGACTTTTTAAAAACGTCTATTGGTAGGTTCCAGTAAGTGTTCTGAGGCATGAAATGGGACTCAAAATGTGGAGAATTATGGCAGTAACCAAGTAATGTACATTTCTCTCTAATATTGCCGTTTGACCACGCCCCTACTACATTAGGCTGTCGACCCAACCTTGTTCCTTTTGAAATTCACAAGAGTGGCATTTACGTCAATACAAGTTTGACTATGTCAGACTGTACAGTTGTACAATTAGTGTACTGAGTACGTTACATTCTGTGCCTTAATATTCTGACAAAATTAGGCCAGTGGCCAGGCCATCTCCTTAATTAATATAGCCCATGGAAAGGCAATCCCTCAGCCAATCCCTGATATTATTTGTATAGTGCCTACAACATTACAAAATTACGGTTTATAATAACAAGCGTATTTTCTTACCAACGTAAACGTTGTCCTAGTTAAGAATTGTCTACAACTAACGTTTGAAAAGCGACTGCACAGTCTGCACTGCAAAATATTTCGAATTATACCCGCCATATTGCTTTTGACACTGATCTGAAGGTGACAAAACATAACTGGACCGAGCAAGCGCAAAGATGTTGGCATTTGGTTGAGCTTCTTCTAGAAAGTTTTTTAAAAATAATTATGTTCACAAGGGACCGGACAAATTTGAGACCGTACTAATATTTGCACGACCACAGAATGGTAACCGATTTCGACTTTTTCATAAAAAAAATTCACTCCATCACTGACATGTACGCAAGGTGTGCCAACTTTTTTACGCAATTTCAACTAGCCTGCATAAACGGGACTGCCCGAACATGCCCGCTGTTTTTGAGCCACAAAACATCGGTCATCTGAAATGCCCATGAAAAAGGAGTTACTTTATGTGACCCCCATTATAGTGTATCACCCACTATATTATCACCTTATATCCCTAGACTTCCTTAGCCATCCTTAGATCTCCTTAGCTATCCTATACACCATCGAACAAAAGTTCAAAATGGCGAAAACAGAGGAGTGCGTTTGAGTGAAATGAAATTCTTTGTTAATATTTCAGCTGTTTAGTCCATCTTTTATTTGGACACATTATTTATTGCATGGAGAACAAACACAAGAAATCAAAAAGAAGTTTAAATGGCGATGATGTTTATGAATTAGCTTGTAGATACGATGTTGGCTGGTCAAAGTCGAAGAAGAGACGGAAAGATGGTGAAATAAACGATGAACAGTCTGATGAGGGTGGAAAGAATGTTAGTAGAATGGTTAAGGTTAGAAAGGGTCTTTCCAGAAAACATCCATAATATCTCCTCCATGGAGGAATCAGGAATGCCTTGTCAGAAATGGCCATTCCCAAAAAAATCCACACACCCTATGGACGAGCTCAGTAAAATGTGAACCCCAAGAAAAAAAAGATCAAAGTGCCGATGCACACACACCCTCAGAAATTGGTAAATTTTTGCCTTACCCCTCAGAAAAAACGTTAAGATCAAAGGATGCCGATGGCCATAACCCCTCAGAAATGGCTTTTTTGAACCGGCTGATTGAATCAGTGGTGGATTTAGGGGGGAGTGCGCACCCCCCAGGCTCTGGTCAACAGGGGTGCATGGGGGGGGGGGTGCAAAAATGACGTTTATCCTAATTCTAACCAACTTATGTTAAGGATTCAGTTGCGTATCACTAGTTGACAATAGCGGAATAGCCAATATTAAATATTCTGAATTTTAAATGTTTTGAGAATCTAAAAATTTTCCAGAATGTTTTCTCAGAATGCTGGAAATGCCATTTCAGAGACCCAAATTTTAAAAATTTTCCAGGGGAGTATGCCCCCGGACCACCCTAGAAATCTCGTGCCTTCGGCGCTCATTTCGCCATTGGTTAGCACCCCCCCCCCCCAAAAAAAAAAACTTTGCTGGATCCACCACTGTCTCAGGCTAACAAAATTTCTCTCATTATTTCTCTAGAGTGGTTTGTTTGAGGAATTTAGAATAGAAGGGAATGAAGGAAGTAACGATAACATTTACTTAGAACTATATCCTGACAATTTGGTCAAAGCCATGAAGTCTGCTGCTAATGCTCAAGTCGTAAAAATTAAACTGACCAAGAAAATTACTCCATGTCTAACGTTTGAAATAATATTGGTACGCATTATAATTTATTTTTGTTTGTAGTAATTGTAATTTTTATTGTAGCCAGTTGATGTACCATTGTATTGTTAAAAAATAGCTTAACCATTAATGTTCAAGAGTCCTCTCTTTCATGAACACCGGCCCGATAAGCGTATTTGCTGACAGCAACCCAAAATGTTCCCGGTTGCTTGGCTGCCTGTACAGACTACTACATAAAGTTGCACTGAGTATCAGAAACTGGTTCTTAACACAATTACATCAAATTAAATTTGGTTATTGCCTTTTGTCTTGCCATTTAGGGTTAGGGATTCATAAATATAGTCCCTCGAGTTTCGCTAATTAAACTACGGCAGGACATTCTCAGAACTTTACCAACTGCACATTACATTACGACACGCAATTCACTGGCAGGTATATAGGATTTACGAAGTTGACCACACAGAGTCAGGGTGCCGGGCTGTCACTTTCTCACTTTGTTTTTACACAAAATGTTTGGGCTTTCATGGTTTCATGGTTCCATAGAACTGTTAGTATACGTTTTAATAGTTATTCAGTTGATCAATAATCATAACTGTTCATTGTTGATTGTAGTTAATTACTGGCGAAAAGAACTGAGCTGAATCATATTTAAGATAACGCTCTCTGAGTATGTCCACGTACACGAGGAAGGCCAACAATTTTGCTTGACCACGGTGGGAATTGAAACCGAGACATTTTATTTGCTAGTCCAATACTCAACCAAATGAGTTCTAGGAACTAGACTGAGTATTCGAGCCGACCTGACCTCGTAGCTCTGTTGGTAGAGCATTGGACTAGCAAACCAATAAGGTATTTCTTTGCAATAATAGATCATCCGAAAAAACTGAAAAATGTTTGCATCATTTACGTTCATGTATTCAAAACACTCACCATGCATGCAATTTGACATTGCAAGTTACAAGTTGGAAACAATAGCACCCAAAGTAACCGTATATACAGTATGATATCATTTGACACATTTGTCATGCAACTAACTCTGTCTTCGATTTATAGTGCTTGAAGTATAATGGATAGTGCATACGTCATATTTTGCACTGTTTTATTTCTTAGCCAGCTATGGTACGTTCAAGAACAGTTACACATGATATTCCAGTAACTGTAATAGCTGAAGATCAGTGGGATGCTTATAAAGAACCACAGATGCCTGAGTATGATGTAAGATTGAATATGTGATATTTGAAAATTCTTTGCACGACTAATTTTTTCTGTATAATTTACCAGGAAATCGTTACTTAAGTAATTACATTGTTGTTGTTGTTGTTGTTGTTGTTGTTGTTGTTGTTGTTGTTGTTGTTGTTGTTGTTGTTGTTGTTGTTGTTGTTGTTGTTGTTGTTGTTGTTGTTGTTGTTGTTGTTGTTGTTGTTGTTGTTGTTGTTGTTGTTGTTGTTTCATTTGCTGCTATAAAGCATCAATCACTATTATAATTATTATTCTTACTGATCAAACTATTTTTCTTACCCTTTCCTTTATCTCAGGTTAGTATATGTATGCCACCTCTGAAAACTGTCCGAAATATTGTGGACAAAATGAAGCATTTTAACAGTCAACTGGTATGGATTTACATATTACAAACCAGAGCTGTATATTAATTATTTACCATAGCAGTCATGGCCTGCATGTGTTCCCAAAAACATTCTACCAATTCATTTGCTCACACGAACCAATTCATTTACTAAGTTATTTGATAAGTTCCTGTATGATTGATAACCTAAGCTTCCTGTTGAATGCACCAATCACCTTTGGTTTTGGTTCAATTGACCAATCATAAAGAAGCAGGAAGTGACCACAAACTATCAACAGGGTTCGTACGGGTCCTGGAGAACCTGAAAAGTCATGGAATTTCAATATTCCAAAATCCAGGCTTGGAAATCCTGGAAAATCAATTTTAGTCATGGAAAGTCATGGAAAATTGAAATTTTACATAACATAACAAAGTATTTTACTTATTTCAATTTATCAGTCATAACAATAATATGAATTGCTGTTGTTATATAGTTTGTGTCAAAGTTCAATTTTTCTGTTTGCCGATTGGGCAAAACCGTGTCACGTGCCGGTCCACAAAACGTCATGTTCGTCAACCGGTCCGCAATGAAACATTTATTGACCGGTCAATAATAAAATGGGTGCAATACGCATGCGTGTCAACCATCAAGTTCCAAAGTTCATTTTTTAAACTTTTTATTTAACATTTACGGCGTTCCATTTATCCAATTTTAGGTTTCAAATTAAGTTCACTCCAATAACCGGTGAATTATTCATACTTTGACACTTATATACTATATAACAATACACTTATTTACTGAGACCTCGGGAAAGCAGTGTGTTTTGTGGACCCGAGACCGCCGTTGTTGCCCGAGGCGAACCCCTCGGTCTCAGTAAATAAGTGATAATTATATAACGGATTTTTGCAAGAGCGAAGTGAATTTTGTTCTTTTATTATATCTGTTATCGTTAAAATATTAACGAATTTCAGAAATTCCAGACTTCCAGGTCATGGATTTTGAAAATAATGGTCATGGGAAGTCATGGAAAAGTCATGGAATTTTAAATGGGAGAAGGTGTACGAACCCTGTATCAAATTCGTTGCATTGCAGATAATTGGTTAATAAACGTCTCAAATGAATTTGTTCGTGTGAGCAAATGAATGGGTGGAATATTTTAGGGATACTTCCATTGCCACGAGCACGACTGTAATAAATTCACATCAGTTACAATACCTATACCAACCTTGTAGCAAAACGGTAAGCCAGTTTTGTCGGTTTTAAATAGCATGTGTGGAAGTGATGTTCCGCCCTTTTATGGTATCATTTTTGAGTGCAATTTGGAAAAAAACATGCACTGATTTCCTTTATATTCTTCTGACAAATATAGTTAAAATAAAATATTAAAGCCTCATGGTATTAGCTATATAAGTATGCTATATAAGCGCCCTGATAAAAATATGCTGCATTCAGCCAGTCAGAAGTTTTCGTGTTCAGTACATTATAGTTATGAATCATGTATTCCCAATTTTTTGTACTTCAGGTGATCTCAGCGAACATGAGTGGATATATGACGTTGAAAGTTATAACAGATATGGTTTCAGCAACAACACACTTTAGAGATTTAGACGTAGAGGATTTGGGTAAGTCTCTCTATGCGTCAGAATGCATGTTTCTCAGACAATGGAGATCGGTAGCCCTGGCTCGATGTTCAAAGCTAAACCGAAATTGCAGGGGAAAGAAAATTTTACGATTTTCTTACGTGCAGTTTGTTTGTAATTAATTTTGAGGGAGTTGGAATTGGAATACGTTGCTCCTCTGATGACAGCACACTTTCGAATGTACCGCTACATTTCTGTGTAGAGCTGTGTATTATAAGTAAATTCTTACCGTGTAATTTATTTCGCACTGGTAAAAAAACATATCTCAAATTACCCACCAGGGAGAGAAGACTCTAATACTGAGCGAAGTAATTCCAGCCAAGAGATGAGTGAAGCAACTGTGGATATTAAGAAATTACTCGCATTTCTTCATGGTCAACTTGTTAGCCCAACAAAAGTCATTTGTAGTAAGTGATTTCATCCTTTTATTCTGGTGTAATTTTCCAGTGAAATTTTCTTTTATTGTTAAGGCATGGTTAATGGCGTCGTCCATAGGGAAAATCCATTTTAACTTAACAATTAGGACAGTAACGGAATACTAAAACACTCTTTGAATTAAAGATGATCCACGCTTTGTTTCCCTTGAGAGTTCGAGATGAAAGGATTTTCAATATGTAGTCGTATAAATTCACAGTCATAACTTTGAAAAGTCGCTTTTCATATTGTTTAGACTGTCTAGATTCTCTGGCGTGGGATGACATCATGACAGTACCCCCAAAATGGCGGATATTGGAAACGAGTAGTACCCTAAGTAGGGGTTACCACGAGCCCGAATATATGTCTTATGGCCCACATACAGTGACTGAAAATAGGAAAAAGATAAGACTGCAATCAGTAAAACGAAACGTCGTATTGATAGTCTGTCCGTTTGTGTTCTCTTTAGATATTGTCCATCAAAGAGCAGTACAGTTCTACCTCATCCACGATGACTTTTCTCTGCAGTATTTTATTCCTGCTATTGTTACGTAACTTATCACAGTCGTACATTAGAAAATAGAAATATGTCGGTCTGCTACAGCGGATGGTGTCATCGCACAAACAGATACACTTGGATTGTTTCACGGCGAACAGAAACGAAATTCTGTTACAGACTGTGAGACTGTTCACATGCAAGGATTGTTTCCTTCAATTAAACGTCCGCAGATAGTACCCCATGCAAAACGGTGAGATGAAAAACAAAAACACATATAGGAAACATTTAACTTTTCATTTTACAAATTGCTGCCTTGCTGGTAAATGACAAAACTAAGAGTAAGAAAATAACTTCGAGTTAATGACGAAACCTCGATAAAAGTTTAATAAACTAGTAAAATTCCTTCAGCATACCGGTCAATTGCGTTCGAGGTTAAAAATCGGTACCCTGTACAGGGTGTATAAAAAAAACGCAACCTCGGAATTTCCCAAGAAATCGACATTGTTTTAAGGACAAAAGATTTTAGATCCCTGGGAATTTAAAATAGCACAACTGTCAAAATTACTGCACACGCGAGTGCATAAAGCAAAATTTATGCATTTATTTAATGACACTTAATAAGTTTTAATTTTACAAGTACAGTACACAGTACAGCAACAGTTAAATTATCAAGGGCCTTGTCAGATGTAGGCTAATATGTTATACGATCTATTAGCAATGCATGGACCTATTACCTAATGAACAAAAATTGTGATCTAGACAAAAATTTCATCACAGCTTGAAAGAGCATCACAAAATTAGTAATATTCAGAAAGCGGTATCAATTTCCCGTGCGTAATACAAAATGACTGAAAAACGGCAAACTTCTCAGGGCTATATATTATCCGCATTTTACATTTCGCAACGAAACTTCGGAATATTACTAATTTTGTGATGCTCTTTCAAGCTGTGATGAAATTTTTGTCTACACGCGTAAAAATTGAGAAAATCAACAACTTGTTCCAGGTTGATATCAACAGGCGTGAACAAAGTTGTGCGGCCCACTATGAACAGTATTGTCAACATGTTGTTACAGCATTGTTCAACTGTAACAACTTGGAACAACATGGTTGACAACTTGTTCATAGTTGGCCGCTTGTTCATAGTTGGCCGCACATCATTGTTCACGCCTGTCGATATCAACTTGGTCTTGGAACAACCTGTGCGTTTTTAGCCGTGTAGACTTGTCTAGATCAAAATTTTGTTTGTTAGGTAATAGGTCCATTTGATTTCAATTCCTAGGGGCCTAAAGGCCCGTTTACACAGGCGATTTTTGCTGCGATTTTAGTTGCGATTTTCTCCTTTTGGAGGATATGAAGGAGTAGATTACTTAATGACGTTATGAAATTTCATAACCTGGAACATTTATAACTCATCCACTCCTTCACATCCATCACTCATCAGAAGAAAATCGCCCTAAAATCGCAGCAAAAATCGCCCGTGTAAACGGGCCTTAAAATATTTTATGCTTAAGAATTGCAAAGTGGATTTCTTACAGTAAGCCCTGGGCAAACCAGGAAACATTGTTGCGGAAACATTGTTTCCTACCAATGTTTGCCATGTTTCCCAGAGTGGGCAAACACTAGGAAACATTAGTGAGAAACATAGGGAAACATCAAATGTTTCTGAATTTGGTAGGAAACATTTTTGCTTCCCAGGAAGCATATTTTGTTTCCGCAACAATGTTTCCACGGGTGGGCAAACATGGAAATATTTGAGGAAACATCGAGAATCACAAATGTTTCCGCAACAATGTTTCCTAGTTTGCCCAGGGCTTTAGGAAATTCCGAGGTTGCGTTTTGTATACACCCTGTGTCCCTGTATAACATATGGATTATGGTACATATGTTTTCTATCATCCATATAAAGACAAAGAAAGCAAGACTTGTTGCCAACTTTGGGGACGAAATTAACCGTGTGGAACACTCAACGACCCCTGCGTGGGGAGAGTGAAGAACATAAACAGTAGGGCCATTTATACGGAACAAAATAAGACGCGACTTACATAAGACGCGACTTAAGTAAGACGCGAGTTTGTGGTATAAAAGGTACAAAATTCTTATGTAAGACGCGTCTTGGATAAGACGCGTCTTACATAAGAACAGGTCTTTTAGCTGTTCTTATTTAAGTCGCGTCTTAAATAAGAAATTTTGGACAAAAAGTCTAACTACACATGCCAGAAACTTGAAACAACGTAAAATTTAATGCCTTCCATATTAAAACAAAAACAACCAAAACATCATTATAGCTATAGCAAATAAATAAGACCAAAGCCGTAGAGAACTACCATTTATGCGATAACTCCACTTATTTAAGTCGCGTCTTATGTAAGTCGCGACTTATTTTGTCTCGTATAAATGGCCCTAATGAGTCTGAAGATAATGCTTGTGCTTTTTAAACAGTCGAGTTAAAATACTGTATATTATTATTATTCATGTTTAAGAATATTCACCATCGCATAAATTTGAATTGCGGTTTATTTACAACTAAGTATTTAATTACTATATTAACAATATTCAATAATATACAAATAATGAATGTTTCTTCGTGCAATGGTAAGAATATTTTCATGAGGTGAAAGATGGAATGTTCCATATATAATACCAAAATAGACTAATAGATTCGTATAAGAAGCATTTTGAGGGATGCGATTTATCGAAAACACAAAGAGTGCAATTGTACTATACGTTTTATTCCATTGCACTCGCGGAGAGTGCAATGGAACGTGTTCCATTGCACTCTTGGGAAATGGAATTTTCTATTCAATATCACGTGACCATAAACAGCCAATTAAACGATTAGAATTTAATAAGGTATTATATAATAAGGATTAAAGAGGTATAGGATAATGCCCAAGCTCGAGGTATTATTAAAAATAATGACCGAGCGCGTAGCGCGAGGTCATTATTTTTAATAATACCGAGAGCGAGGGTATTATCCGACTTAATGCACATTATGGTGTTTATGAACAAAGAAAACTATTAAGATAGTTACAAGTTCATTGTTGTGGTACTATTATTTTTCACACCATATTTGTGTTTTGTATGCGCATTCCTGGGCTGTTTTTTCAACAGCTACCTTTTTATTACTTGATTGATATTTGTGGAGTGAGGATGTCTGGTTCGAGAAAGCGAGATTTTAGTTTGTTTGGAGAAGGATATGACGATGAATTTGAAGTTGAAAAGACCAATGATTGGGATTGCGACTGTCTAGATTTGGAAGACGATGGGCTGGATGGAATACTTTCCCAGTCGTTGGATTTGTTTGCAGAGCGGAGAATTTCACTGGAAAGGCCAAATCAGATAGACAGTGTCAGTGAGCGGCGATGTAATGCACCTGGGAAAAGCACGTTGGATAGAAAAGGTGAAAATTGTCTTAGCTAAGTTTTGTTTAAAAGTTAGTAACAAGCATTAATCATAGCGATTAATATTTGAATTTATTTATATTTTGCAATAGAGCAACAGAATACGTCTGACCGGTTTGAGATTTGCAGCAGTAAAAGTATGATAGAGTTGGCTTGCGCGAAGCATCCCAGAAAATACTAAGAGGAAAGCGATGTGGGCATACAGAATGTTCGACGCTTGGTCACAATGGCGCCAGGAGATCTCTCAAGATGGAAGGGAAATGCGTCTGGTTGATAAAATTCTCTTGGTTTACAAGTCAGAAATACATATGATGCCAGAAGTTGACCTCAACGAAGTAGAGTTCATCGCAGAAGTAAGAAAAGACGGTGGAGAAAGGTATCCTGGAAAAACACTGTATGAAATAATCAATAGTTAATAAGCCCTAGTTTTTTAAAACTTTATACGTTGTAGTTAAATTAAAATGGAAATTTTTGTAGTGTAATTAAAATTTGCTTTAAAGCAAAGTTGTAACGCACAATGGTTTATTTTTTATTCAAGCGAAAAATCGGGGTCATTATTGTAAATATTGCAGGTCATTATTAAAAATAATAACCTCCTGACATTAAATAATGACGTTGCATTAACTTGCGCATGTCGATTCTTGAAAATAATAACCTGTTCAAAACAATGAAAATGTGCATTAATTAATTATAACTTTGTACTTATATAAAATCTGTATTTAAATGTTGCTACTGTCATTAAAAATAGCCACTGTGCTCGGAAAGAAGCTGCGGCGGTACCGTTCTGTTCTGCATTTGATCGTAGTTAATGCATTAGAATTTCTTAGGTTGTAATCGTAACAGGTGTCTCTTGGTGCAGGAATGTGACTAAATAAAGGACTTCCTTGTGGTATATTTTTCAAGTTTTTAAGGCAAAGTTTTTCTCGTCTCTCGTCTAGCCGGGCGCATTTCAGAAATGTTAGGGCTGGTAATATAATTCTAAGTGCGCGTTTCTGGACTCGTTCTAACTGGTTAGCAAGATACGAAGGTAAAGTATTATGCCAAACTAACACTGAGCGTATGATCGCGAAATAGATCTCAAGTAAATCTTCAGCAGGGACGCCACTTCGGCGTAAAGTGCGAATAATGTACAACCGTTTAGATGCTTAAACGACTGAATCAATGTGTTCGTTCCATTTTAGATTGTTCTGAATAATAAGACCAAGAACTTTGTGAGACTGAACGATTTCAAGCGCTTGTTCATCTATCAATAATGGCAATAGTTCAGGTTTATCTTTCTGGAAACAAATGCGTAGTTCTTTACATTTTTTAACGTTAAGTTTCATATAGTTCTGTAGGGACCAAGAACAGGTTGAGTCAAGATTAGATTGTATATTAGAATTGCTGTTCTTTGCCAGTCCCTCCGAGGTTGATTATACATCGTCAACATATTTCCAAATATCTGTTCCGCTGGATCTGGGATTAAGATTATTTATCATTACCAAAAACAAAATTGGACCAAGCTTTGTCCCCTGTGGGACGCCAGCTTTCATTGGTAACCAATCCGAGATTATATCTCCTAATTTAACTCTCTGTCGACGGTTAGAAAGGAAGTTAATTATCCATGGTACCAAGGATCGTCGAACACCTAGATCCAATAGTTTGGATATTACCATATTATGACCAATACGGTCAAATTGTGGGTGAAGTATTCCAACCATACAATATATAGCGTGTTATCGTTCCATTCTCTACTAGCCTGCTCACAGACGTTGTAGTTCTTACGCCAAGCGACGAAATATTTCGCAGGCTAATTCCCTACAAGTTCATTATTCTTTTAATCGCCAACTTTGCTTATACTGTACTTATACCGGATAGCTTTCCGTATTAAACGACGTGAAAAAAACACAGATTACAGATATTGCACAGTACACTCCCTATCAGGGTTTTTCAGTGACTGGTTACATTAGAACTGTATTAGGATAAACACCTATCCGTACCTCTTAGGAACGCTATTTTCAGAGAAATTATTCCAACGGAGAAATGTTATTTCGCTCAGCTACTGAAAGTTGTACATTCCGGATCGGATAAGTGCTTTTTCTGGCCGGTTTTCAAGAAGATAGTCGTGACCCGGGAGAAAATCAAAATGAAATCATACATTAAATAATAAAGTGTGCCTGACACAACAACAACAACAACAACAACAACAACAACAACAACAACAACAACAACAACAACAACAACACTTTCAAAAGACTCTTTAATGGAATAATGGAAATATTTACTATATGTCTATGGAATTACAAAAGGTATATGCACGCATTTACAATGATATGGTATCTGTTCAACAGAAGTGTAGCAAAAAACATTTTACGGAAGTTGATCATCGTTGGTGATGAAGATCTAACCAGATAACACCATCTTGACAAACTCTACATTAAAAAAATATAAAAATATTATGTTAGGTACAGTAATTAATTTCTAGTTTCAATGTTTATCATAATACAGGGTGTATCAAAAAAAACTGAACAGATTTGAAATTGCTCTCAATTTCGCAAAACACCTATTTGTATCCGGTTTTTTATATATATAGCTTCTTTGGGTAGTTATGATGTAGAATAATGAAAAAAATTTCTTGAACTCAAATTTTGTGAACCAGGAGGGTGTGTCTTTTCCAACAAACTAAAAATGGCTCGCGCACAAACTTTAAAACCTGGAATCATATTTTGAGTTAACAGATGGAAACTTTGTCGGGTATTTAATTACTGTACAAAATTTCAGACAATTTGGTTTAGTTTAAGCCCTTTAACTATTCATTTTGTTCTAAAAAATCAGCCTTTCGCATGCTTAATTATGCCTTTACCTAATTTGCATATTGCTGACATATGCAAATTAGGCAAATGCATTAATTAAGCATGCAAATAGCTGATTTTTAGGAAAAATGTAACTTTGCGTGAATAGTTAAGGGGGCTTAAACTAAACCAAATTGTCTGAAATTTTGTACAGTAATTAAAAACCCGACAAATTTTCTATCTATTAACTCAAAATATGATTTCAGCTTTTAAATTTTGTGCGCGAGCCAT